GCAGTCATCTCAGTCAGTCGACCCATGGCACCTGGGTCTGTCCCGTGGCCTCCTGCCAGCGGGCGTTCGACACTTCACGTGGCCGCGAATGTTGTTTTTTGTTGTTGTGTTGAACTGCTTTCACTTCGTACGCAGCCAAACGTGCTAATCGGAGGTGCGGGGAAGGATAACAGATTAGTGTGTGGTGGGGTAAAGTGTGGGTATGCCCACCTCTTCCAACATGTCTTATCAGCATGGAAGGATAGATCAAATATCGTCTAGAAGTCACTATAATGGAGGCCCCTCTGATAAAAAGTCTCATGCGCTAGCGATTGCTTAGATGTATCTTCAACTTTTACATGAGAAAGAAGGGAAAATGTACCGTGCAGTAATTTAGTTTGTACGTTTGCGCTCGCCAACAACGGCATTAATCACTGACATTCCACTGGAATCGATTGCTAATTCCTGACATTCGGAATTGGTCACCGATACAAAAAAAAACGTATCCCCATTATCGTTTAACAACCCAAATATATTGTACTGTGCTGTACTTGTTTTTTTATGAGTCAATGAAAGAGGATAACAGAAGGTCTTGAGCCTAGACTTAAATAGGGGCTGGGAGTCCATAAACGAGTACATCTGTTCATACATCACTTCATTATCTTCGTTTTTTCTCGAAGATAAAAACGTAGTTCATGAACATTATTGAGCCACTCTGTAACGAGTCTGAGGGAGCACCACCCAAGTTATATGAGATAAGTCAACGCAAGCGACTTCAGAAGCATCGTGAACATTTTCACAAATTTGTAACGTGCACAATTTTCGTTGGGTTTAAGGGAACAGAAACCCACAGACAAACGGGAAGACAGACAGAATGGGCGTCAAAAATTGCCCGACTTCTGTGACCCTATATTGAGATGTTTGGCTAACTCCTTTAACGATTGTTTACACAAAACGCGGGCCATTCCCTGCCAGAGTGCGAGTGTTCTGCACTCTCAGGAACATCTTCTTGTAACATGACTCTGATTAGACTGTCGTGATGTAATTGTTAACATGGGTGGTGGCTGGAATGAATCGCAACAAACGTGCATTTTACAACTGCTGGAGATTTGTTGGAGTTAATTAAAAGCATGTGGACAATGAAGTACGTGTGAAATTCGCAACAATGCGCTGCAGTTGCTTTAGTTAGTATTAATAATTGAAAAGCATATTTTTATAAACATTACATTTCTTATTTTTTTTCCCAAACCGTATTAGACTCATTCATTGTGCTACAATTCCACGCAGTCACGAAGTTATCGTATGGCTCAAAGTCAGCCTGAACAACAGGTGGACCTTAAGCTGCTGCCTGCAGATGGATGGTGCCTGACTGTCGCCACGGAGGCGAGATGTTAACTACTTCGCCTGGTTTGCAAGGAGGTCGCGTGTTCGATCCTCACCCTGACGCCTGTATATTTGGAGTTTGCATGTTCTCCACGTGGTCTCGTGGATTTTTCTGTATGTCCTCCTTTTTTTCCCTCCACGTTTAGAAACACGCGTTTAAGAGTATTAGGCTGCTGTACATTTCCACATGATGAGCCACTTCGTTGGTTTCTTGTTCATTTTTTAGTTTTGTTGCGGTTGCACCCGAGTCAAGAGCCGCATGGCTCACAGGGTTATACATATTCTTTGTTCTTTCGGTAAAGGCACGTAGAAGGGAAATAATAATGAAAAAAAAATTCTCACGACGTTTTATTGTTACATTTTTATTATTTTATTATTTCCCTTCTACGTGACTTTACAGAAAGAACCAATAATATGAATCCCTGCAGTCACGAAAGCTTTTAATCGAGGGTTATACCTAATAAATGAAACTGAAACGGAGCTATCATTTAGCTTGGTCGGCTTTACCTGGTAAAATTAAAAACAGTTTAGTTCAGTGTGTGCAGTGGGAGAGTCCCAGTTGATCGGTGCCACTACAGAGAGAGAGATGGTGCTCATCCAGGGCAACCCACAAGTGGCCGTCCCGGGATATGAAGTTTGCTTAAGGTTGTGCAGAAGGCACGCCGTTGAGTGACTGACCAAGCAAAGCCTACTAGCAAGAGGCGCCACTTAAAGTCAGAAGAATCTGAAGTGGAGACAATCGATGCATCCTGCACTGATGCATCCTGCTTGTGGCTCCTATTGATTTTGGATGAGGGTAGCGGTCAGCAAAAGCCGTACCAGGCTGCCATGTGGTATGTAGAGCCATTCGCGTATGCCTTTGTTGTTGCGTTAATGTGTCCTGTTCGTCGTCTGTGTGAATGAACAAAAAAAACCAGGTCAGTGTTTCCTTTAAAATACATATATATCGCAGTGCTGTTATTAAGAACATTGTCGAACATATGTCTCGCTTAACTCTGACTGTGTTTGTTAAAAAATGATATAGCTGCTCTAGACTTGATTATGCCACAATTACATACTCAATTGCTGTATACGATACCGTCAAAATAATGTAAACGTTACTCTGTTGTACTTTCTTACAGTATGTGGCAGAAACATGTGACGGGTTTGTCATTTAAATCTTTCTGCGCAGGTTATGGGTTCTGCAAAGGTGTATTTATGTATTGCACTATGTCCTTCAATATGTGCAGCTATAACCAGTGTGTAACAGCCTTGCAATTCGGGATGACAATGTCCTCACGGCGTACAAGAACGTTGCAGCCACTGACTGCTACATTGCGATCGCTACGCACAAACACGCGGTCCAAGATAGGTTGTATGAAGACGAACAAATGATAGGGCAATATGTTGTCCAGCAAGGTCAGTCAGTCAGTCAGCGCTGTAATGCGAGCACACAATAGCAGGCAGTAAAGTTCGCTCAATGTAATCCTCGTCGCTATGGGTAGCAGCAGGAGCGCAAGTTTCGTGTTAATAAACCAAGCGGCTCACTTTGCAACCAAATATTTGCCTCTTGGATGCAGAGTTATTTTGCGCGACGGTGCAAAACCAATTACAAGCAACATGCTCATTAAAAAATAATAACAAATCAAATCCGGTAATCGGGTACTGTAGTGAACAAGATCAATGTCTGGGCATGTTCTGCACTGGTAGTTAAAAACAACATGTTTTGATCCCATATACAGTATTGCCAATTGTCTCTATCATTTACAGCCTTTTGTAAATTCGCCGCTGGATGAAGGCCTTTTGCCGTGCCATGTCGTCTATTGGGGTTGATTGATCATACTTACGCTTTGGTTCTTTCGGTAAAGTCACGTAGGTATAAAATAAAATAAAAGAAAAATAATATTTTTTTTTATACCTACGTGACTTTACCGAAAGAACCAAAGAGTATGGATTCCTGCAAGTCACGAAAGCTTCAAGTCAAGATTGATCATACTTAACCACGCTGGCCTGTGCTGGTTTGTTAAGGAGGAGAGCCAGGATCAGGTTCAGATGTCACTCGGCACTGCTGCTAGCCATGGCCTGGAATTGGACCCGGGTAGCGTCGAGTGTGGTCTACACCTGCCATGAACATTTGAACACTGAAGCTGGCAGCGAGATGCAGCTGAGTAAGGATTAAGGTGAATGTACAATTACGGTACGTAGTTTTATTTCAGCTGTCCTAATCACGGACTTCTCTTGCGCTGCAAAATAGCTGATGTCCATCTTGCTCTTTTGAAACGTCACTCTAATAAAGGTTCTTGGGTTAGATCGCGTAAGTATAAATGTGTCAAAACCCTCCACCACCCGACACAGTAAGGGGTTTGTTACGTAAAAAAGCGCCAAATAGTTACTACTTCAGCTCACCGGTGTGTTGGAGAGTAAATCCACAACATTTACAATTTGAGTACGACGTTTCACCGGTAATTACATCAACCAGCATCATCGGGCGATGCACTGTGGGGACTTCATTATATTCCTTTGAGGGAATGATTCTGGCAAATCGCCCGATGATGCTGGTTGTAATTACCAGCGAAACGTCACGGGACTCAAACTGTAAATGTTGTGGATTTACTCTCCAATTCACCGGTGGGCTGAAGTAGTAACTAATTGACGTTTTATTTACGTGACAAATCCCTCACTTTTCGGCTGCGCTGGCGCGGTGAGAATGACGACACATTTATACTTACGCGATCTAACCCAATAACCTTTATTATGAATAATATTGCTCACGAAATCCTACTACGTGTTCAACGAAACGCCACTGAATCCAGATTTGAAGTTTTCGTGACTGCAGGGATCCATACTCTTTGGTTCTTTCGGTAAAGTCATGTAGGTAGAACATAAAATCAATGAAATCACGACGTTTCGGGTGCAACACAAGCGTCCGTCATCAGGTGGGACAACCACAGCAAGAAACAATTGTTTCTTTATTTTATACCTACCGTGACTTTACCGAAAGAACCAAGAAGTACGAAACACCACTGGTCAAGCAAATGCATACTTGTCTTGTGACGCAGAGTGCCGGCTGAATTATCAATATATCTCGTGACTTTAGACAATTTCCTGGCATTCTTGCACTGTGGAAGTTTATTATATTCCTTTGAGGGCTTGTTTCTTATCAAGCAACTACAGAGCGTGTGTCTTTTGTACATGTCACATTTCAGAGAAGCTAATCACCGTCGCCCTCGGTTGCCGAAGTTGACTTCGGCGTTGCCTACAGATGAGAAAATGATGCAGCCGCTTGTCTGCTGTCAAGAGTGCCATGTTAACAAGAGGCAGTGGAATAATAAACGTGCGCAAACGATGGGAAGGGTTATGAGGTGGTGATGTTAACTTAAGAATGCATCGTCTGCCTAGGCACGCTGCTCAAAAGAGCACTCTTCCTGCGGTTAGTACTGACACACGTAATATCCGATGGCCACTCGTAGTAGGAAACCGCACCTAATTTACGCAATACATAAATATGTGCCTGCATATCCTCGCGTGAAGGCGCCCTCGTTTGTTAAGATGTCACGCGTTTATTGCGGTGCCGTGATGGCGAAAGAGATGCACTCTCTCTCGCCTGGCACGCAGGAGGTCGTGGGTTTGACCCCACACCCTGACCGGCATGGTGAAGTATGGTTAAATATTTGCCAAGACCAACGCGTCACGGCGGAAACGTTCATCCAGCAGTGGATTTAGAAAGGGGCGTCAACGAGGCTGCTCGTCACGGCTATTTGTTCGGACAATCCAGAGACGAGCAAGCCCCTTATGTGCGCATTCGCTTATCTGGCACCCTGTTTTCTCTGCTACGGGGTAAGACGAGTCGCGATGTCCTGTGCGTCGCAATTGCGCGAGGGATTACGGAGGAGAGGAGGGTGAGCCGAGGGAGGAGGCTGGATGAGGCTGTGGTGAAGGGCTGTTAAGAGGACAGAGCAAGTACGACGGATGGAGGAGTCTGTGAGAAAAGTGGAGGGTCAGAGGCTTGGGGAGGGACTGTGCGATTGTTGGGCTTTTGTTCGAGTAGGAAGGATGAATACACGAGAGGTTCCAGAACATTTCTGTACAAATGGAAGCAAGGGGTATTGTTGAGGGTAGTCACAGGCTTGGAAGATTAACTACGTACATGGTGGTAATAATAATAGGAACGTGGGCATTATCACAATAGTGTGGAACAGTAGAAATTGTTCCTTTAAAGTTACAATTTAATCCCGACTTGCTTCTGAAATCAGTATATCAACAGGGCTGGCACAAGTTCTGTATTTAGCAAACCATCCATCAAAACATATAAAAGGGTCTCTTTTATAACTGCCGTCTTCTTTGGAGTGCACAAATCCCTCCACTCATTTTAAATCTCTCTCCGTATCAGGGACAACCATTTGTGAATTGCTCATAGTCAAGTTCCTTTTTGCTGCTTTCACGTTCCCGCCCATTGCTTGCATGTTCTATCAGTTGTGTGCTGCATTCTCTCATCCCTTTTCCCATTCGTTCCCGATTCGTTTGACAGAGTTGATGTGCATTCAATCTGCAGTTGTTCCATTGCTTGTTACATTTATTATTTCCTCTTCATACATGATATATTTCAAGTGTTGAACAATCTGCTCTCTGTTTGCTCTGTAATATTTTCTCCTTCGTTTAATGCACTATTCATTACAGTTCATTCATTATTTAAAGATATCCAATTAATCTATTTTATCCTCTAGGCATTTCTATCTATTGTTTAGAGTTGGCCTAAACAAGCCACCTCTGGCTCGATGTTTCAATGTTAACTACGTATGATTTTCCCCGAAATTAGTTTCGTCCTCTCATTGCCTGTGTTGAAGCGCAACTTGCATTGCAGCAATTTTCGATTGCTTTTTCTGTTTTGAATATATATTTTGAGTCTAAAATGTTTCAGTGATGTAGTATGGAGGACGTGGTGTGTATCCATTGGCCCCATTTAGGATCCATTCATCATTGTAACTAGACTGCTCGCTATCATATAACAATGGTAGCCTTTAAAAACACCTATTGGAATATGCTGGCAGTATTATATGAGCACAGACTTAAAATAAACCATGACCACCAGTATTAACTCGAACTTATAACATAACATATGGTGCGTTTCGTTTATAGCTATTTGTCAACATACTGCTAGATAAAGACCTCTCGAGGTGATGTTGGTCGTCAGATTTGTTGGACAGTGTGGCTTGTGTTTGCACGTTAAACTTCTCTCGCACCGTACGTAGGTGCAGGGAAAGGACAACAAACAAAACACAAAATAGAAGTTCTAAATAAATGAGTTTTGAGTCGAGATTTGAAAGTGCATAGCTCCAGTGGCTTTCGAATATTGGAAGGAAGAGCGTTCCAGACGGACGCAGAAGTGCATCTAAAAGTTGGCGATGCAGTGACCGCCTCTGCAGTGACCGCCCTTGTGTGGAATGCCAACTGATTTTTTTTTTTAGTTGGGAGACTGAGGAGAATAAAATGCAGTTTGACTTCAAATAGCTGTACAATAGCACCTGTATGGGCGTCACAGTAGATACTACGTAGGCAAACAATACACGTGGGACGAGGGGAAGCTGAGTGGAGAGTGATTTCGATTTTTTGTAGTGATATTTATGAAGGGGTTTAATAAGACTCTTTTCAATCGCACAAAAGCATTTCATTCATTAAATGATCTGTGGCCTTCCAGATTTATATTTCCCAGATTAATTTGTTTAAACGCGGCAACCCATTATAATTCACTGCGTCTCTGAGTCCCATCAGTACTATTGTTTATTTCCTGTCCATAACATACATTGTCATTGTTTTATAAGGACAGAGCTTTCTGATGAGACTCAGCAATAAAGTCAAATCTGGATGAAGAAACTATGAATGTTTAAAGTTCAAAGGTCAGCCAATAGATGAAATTCCACTTCCCTTGAGAACTTAGATTATGTCCTTGTCAAACATTATTGACTTGTGCTGCATTACATTTGACTCTCATTGCTTATCAAGAAAAGGGGATATCATAGTTGACACCTTGAGCTGTTATGCAATTCCAATTTCCATTGTGCCACCTCAAAAAACACTTTTTTACGAGACCGTCCATGAAAAGTAAACGTGTTGTGTTGTTTATTTTATATTCAGTGATGGAAAAAAAAAACATCAACACATTTTTTACATGTCCTGAATAAGATGTGTTTGAAAGTAGCTGTAAACTTGCACTGCTAGTACTATACAAGTTTTAGGGAGTTATATTTATCGATAGGCTTGACACCTTTCACAGAGATGCAAATTAGACACCAATGCAGAGCTGAAACCGAGGTCACGGTGTTGATAAAGTCAAGAGAAAAACAAAGCACAGCACCCACACATTGGTGCATAAATGCATCCCCATATATACATAATAATTCTTCACAAACTAACTCTCTCTTTCAGTTCATCACGTACAAATGTTGTTTAAATAACCCCTTATATGTACCATTAGGTTTACCATTCGATTCTTCCACGCAATTATTTTTTTGCGTGAGCGTTTCTTAATGAAACTTTTTTTTATATTTAGCTAAAGCGTTATACTCACCCTGGTCACCTTGTACAGCACCCACAAATTACTACTTTTAATTTGTTAAGTGCGCTGTGCAGAACTGAAATGTTATTGTATCTTAAGGGTGGGGTAGAGGGGGCCCCTTTGGGGAAGTGGGGGGGTAAATCACGAAAGTTGTCGGAACTTTTTTTTCTGCTGCGACGAGCTGGCTTGGACGCGACAATTTTACAGTCCCATTCGGGGTGTGGGTTTGCTCTTTCCATCGGACGACTGGAATTTCTCGCAAAACGGTCGTGATTGTATCAACCCAAAGAGAAATGATGGGCTGAGATTTTTAACTCACCACTTTATGCTTTGTAAGTCGTGGGGCATTGACTTTAAAATGGAAACTCTACTTAAGCAGGTTTTGTAAACGGTCGTTCTGCCTATATAGCCACTGCGCGTGTGTGTGTGTGTTCAAATGCAATCTGAAAAAAAAAACACAGAGGAACCTAAATGGTGTATGTAGGCTAATCGGCAGATTCCTTTCCTTGAAATTCTTTTTTACAGTCTAGTGTCATCTGTTTCACTCATCATGATATAACAATGGCTGAGTCTTGTGTCTTTTTTTCAGGAAGAGCTGTATCTCTGGGATGAATGTGAAATAGAGCTTGAATAATACAAATCCGTGTCCTTTTTTTTCCCACTTTCAGAAAGGACCACAGCTGTTTGTCAATTCAGAGCGCAACCAAATGTGACTGGAGTGGATGAGAATGAAGAGAATATGAGTGAGTATCTCGCCGACCCTGGATACTATACTTACGTGTGGAGTATGCACAGCGTTTGCATGTGATTTATTCTTATTTCTCTCCTGTTGGGTTCATTAAGCACTTCTCCAGTCTCCACAATTACGTTCATAGTTTTCTATTCGCAATTCATCAATTCTTACGCATGCTACATGGATATATATATATATCATACATACTGTACTTAAATTATATTGGTGACGTAAAAAGAAATGGAATACAAATGCTCACTTTCTAAAGGTAGGAAAAGCTGGTTGGTGGTGGCCATATTGGCCATGAAAGTGTTTTCATCTGCTGTTAGATCCGGTGAACTGCCTCTCATGGAATTCCATCAGCAAGTCTTAGCCAGCAGTCAACTACCACCGTTGGTATTTGTTAAACAGTGTGCACAAATATGTATGAAATATGGACACGTGGTCGCCAAGATCACAGTTAATTTAGTAATTTCAACTTGACAGTTAGGAACCACAGTGTAAGATGTTATGAAGGGGCATATCAGCAAACGCGTTAATTGTATCTTTAATAGTATATTTCTCAAGTAACTCTAACGTGATATGTATTGAATGGACAACCGGCTACCTTTGCAAGTGCAGTCACCCGCTTCTGGGAGCTTTTCACAGGTTCTGTGATGCATAGAACATAGTTGTGAGTGCATGCTTAGTGTGGAATGCACCATGTATGGCATCCAAAATCTATTTTTTCATTGCAAACTCCACGATAGTGCGTGCACACCGTGTGCAAAGTGTGCTACTTATTCTGTTGTTTGTTCTACTTATTCACCCCATGAAAATATGTAATGGTGTGTTTGCTGCTATTACTTTATATACCCGACATACATCTAATTGGCTCTTATTGGCCGTGGCTTTGATACAACAGCCTAAATGTACGAACCACGTTTTGCGCTACTTTCTGCATTACATAATGTAAAATAGCATTGGGTGGTGACCGATAACACCGCAGTTACTGCAGGTGGACGACACTTCGAGGCAACCTCGGCTATGGTCAAGGCTAGTGACGGAGTGGCAGGAGAGAAACATGCCCGAAATCACGTCCATCCAGGAGATGGAGCGATAGAATCATCACGTGTATAGGTGCTAGGTGGACTTTTGCGGTGCACGATGCTGAGGGATCATAGTGGCTGGGGGGGAAAGGCCTTCATCCAGCAGTGGATTAGTCATTGTTGATGATGACGATGATTTAATGCTAGAGATCTTGTTCTCCATTTGCCTGTGTGTATGTTTATACTCGAGCAATGAGCCACTGAGTACACCACTCACATTTCTCCTACATCTCCACGTTGCACCTCCTAAACACCCCTCTGCAACAACGACCTAATAAACCCCTGTAATGGGTCAACGTCAACCTGCCCTCGCCGTTCAGTTTGCCTGAGAGAGAGCCATGACCGATTTAACCTGATGTTCGATATTATATGCTTGATGTGTACGCTTTTTTTGACAGATACACGTATATAGAATATAAGCTATCGTAAAAATATCACATTGCAGTATATCATATAATCCACAAATAATTATGCAATAATAAAATAAAAATGTCTTTGCAATTATTTCACAGACTTTGGAGTATGTAATGGCAAGAACATTTCATTCCATAGCTGTCAAAGCAAAGTTCATGAATTTTTGCAATAATTTTTTTTGTGATTCTGCATTGGCAGTCAACGCATTAATCGGGAAGACTGCCCTCAAAGGGGAAACAAATGCAATGTCCCTCCTTCTCGGCAATGATGAAAGACCATTGCCTGAATGTCATCCATGATCTAGTTCTTACTTTTGTGGCAGTCTTGAAATGTGTTGAGTTATTGCCAGAAAGGGTTTCTATTTTCCATGTAATTACAGTTATACCACAGCGGTTCCAATATACATATTAGGTCTGCTTTTTTTCTATTTTGTGGAAATGAATTCCAGATCGTGAGCAACTGTCAACTTGGGAAGCTGCGTGGCTTCCTAAACACGTGACCTAAAAATGTGTGCAGTAATATCACATGGCTGCAAGTGTATTAGCACGTGTCAAAATGTATTATTCTTAATTGGTGTTTTTTTTAAATAATACAATCGTGGTCTTTATGCTATTTGAATGCACACATTTGCTTGTCCGTGTTACAATATCCCTTTTCAGACTCTTGCAGCACCGACGTTAAAGAGAATCGTCACATCGGAAACAACATGTCCATCACGGAGCCCGCTCTCGGACTGTGCTCCATAGCCAGCATTCCCGCGAACAGGGGCTCCACGAAACGCAAAAGGCCCCTGGAGGAGGGCAGCAATGGCTCTATGTTCCCGCGTTTTCGGCCGAAAAAACGGAGGAGGGCGCCAGGGCCGGCTGTGCCAAAGAACGCCCTGATGCAGCTCAACGAGGTGAAGCCGGGCATTCAGTACAAGATGGTGAACCAGGTGGGGCCCGTGCACGCGCCCGTCTTCATCATGGCCGTGGAGGTGAATGGTCAGACCTTCGAGGGTTCGGGCTCCACAAAGAAGAAGGCAAAGCTGCAGGCGGCCGAGAAGGCCCTGCGCTCCTTCGTGCAGTTTCCAAACGCTTGCGAGGCCCACATAGCCATGGGCCAGAACACCGCAGCGATCACCGACTTCACGTCCGACCTGGCCGACGTCCCGGGCATGAACTTTAACAAGTTTGACCTACCTGGGGAGAGTGACTCTTTTTCTCAAGACTCCAGCGAGAGCGAGTCATTTCTGTCTACATTCGGACTCAACGGCTTCGAGGCGAAGGCAAGCAGGAGCGAGGCGTCGCTCATTCCTGCCGTGCCTGGTCAGCAGCCAAGCAAACCCACCTTACCCTCTTCTCTCGTGCGGAAAAAACCCGCTGATGATCCTCAATGAAATGCGACCTGGGCTCAGGTTTGACTTTGTCGCAGAAATCGGCGAGAGCCATGCCAGGAACTTTGTAATGGCTGTGACAGTGGATGGGCAGACATTTCAGGGATCTGGTCGCAATAAGAAGCTGGCGAAGGCTCGAGCAGCGCAGGCTGTGCTTCAGGGCATTTTTCATCTGCAGCTGGATGCCACCCCCGGTCGCCAGCCCATCCAAGTGAGGGCCTGCAGCTGCACCTGCCACAGGTGGGATATCAAATTCGGAGCTGCCATGAATTGTGCCGTCTACTTTGCTTCCACGCCACCCAAACCTACATTTTTCTTCAGCTCTATTTTTTGCATGTTAAATTTCCATAGCTATTTTTTTTTATGTAACCCCTTTAACTGACTTTTCTTGTACAATTGCATACAATATTTTTGTAATTAGATGCTATGTTCTTTGTTATATATTTCTTATATTGTTTTTTTTTTATATACATGGGCAATTGTCACAGTCTCGTTAAAGCATCTGCCAAGCTCAATGCACAATGGGGAAGACTGTGGCCTCCATTGCCGGCCCTGAGCAGGTCGTGGAAATTCTCCATTCACATGGCCGTGGCTGGTCTTTCCATCAAACAACCATGATTCCTCTGAGTGGTAACCATTTATCAACCTACAAGAGATTACGTTGTTGAATACGAGTATGCTTTATTACATTTATAATCGCAGATTAAATGTTTTGATGCTAATTTAAAAACACCACATTTATTTGTGTATTTGTGAAGTAAACATTTTTTTCTGGCATACAGCAATTGGCTAATACAGGTTTTATTTTTAGGGGGGGTTAGATCGCGTAAATATATATAAAAGTGTCGTTAAACCCGCCACCATCCGACACAGCCAATCTGCTAGGTTTGTCACGTAAACAGAACATGCCAATTCGTTACTAGTACAGTATGTTGTAGAGCAAAACCACAATATTTACAATCTGAGTACGACGTTATGCCAGTAATTACAACTAGCTTCATCAGGCGACAGCCAGATTGTAAATGTTGTGGCTTTGCTCTCCAACATACTGTACTAGTAACGAATTGGCATGTTCTGTTTACGTGACAAACCTTACTAAATTAGCTGTGTCGGGTGGTGACGGGTTTAACGACACATTTATATATTTACGCGATTTAACCCCAAAAAACCTATATTATGGATGACATTGGTTCGGAATGCCTACATGTTAAACAGTAATTGGCTAAGTTTCCACATAAGCATGATTCAAACGGGTACTTATCGGCGATCATGTGAATTATTTTAAAGCAAAAATACAAGAAACCCTGAAGGCATCCAGGCCGAATATATTTCATAGAAATGAAATAACAAGCTTGTCATTCAGCATTCATGAATTTAGATGCCTAAACAGAGACACTAATGAGATGCAGCTTCCCGTTGCTGCTGGTGTCGTGGTTTTCTGGAGCAATCTGTTCCAGCAGCAGTAATTCTAATAAGGCACACTTTACAGGGGGGGGTTCCACTTCTCTGGGGCCCATCAGCAACCCAGCAACAAAGGCTGCTGGGTTGGCAGGTGTCCTAGGCAAGCGTTATCTACCGACACGGTGAGGCCCAAGTCAAGAACAGCAGAGTACGGAACAGCGAACCGGTACAATATCATCACGTGCTGTCTAGGCGGGTTGTGTGGAAGTGTAGGTGTAATTAATTACGCAATGAGGCGTTGACTTCATGTACACCAACATTGTTTACTTCACCAAAATAAATAACATTGAGGCTTCATTGAGAAATGTGCCTTCCGGGCAAACAGGCCCTTCCAGACAAATGTTTTTTCTCTATTTAACACGTAGGCTTTCGAGACCAATATGTGTGCTGTACTAGTAATTAATTGGCATGTTCTGTTTACGTAACAAACCTTAATTATTTGTTGTGTTGGGTGATGGTGGCTTTAACGACACATTTATATATTTACGCGATCTAACGTACCAAAAAACCCCACCGTATTATGGCGCTGTCTCAGTATTTGTTTAAACGACGAAAATCCTGTACCAGTTTCAACCTCTATGATCGTCACCAGCATTGCATGAGCAATTTAAGTATCAACGAATAGGCCATCTGTTCGTTGATGATGGAATCAATGCTCTCCCACTGTGTTTATTAATTTGTCTGTCAACTGATACTTTAACATGTAGGCTTTCACGACCAGTATCATCCATAATAGAGGCTGTCGCCTGATGAAGCTAGTTGTAATTACTGGCGAAACGTTGTACTCAGTTGTAAATGTTGTGGCTTGGCTCTCCAACACACCGGTGTGCTGTACTAGTGACGAATTGGCATGTTCTGTTTACGTGACAACCCTTGCTAGTTGGCTGTGTCGGGTGATGGCGGTTTTAACGATATCTATATATATTTACGCGATCTAACCCAAAAAAACTCTTATCAACTGATACTTATTGCCAGCAACCGACTCAGCCAAAACATAACGGTTTTGTGCAATATTTAATTGCCCCTTTTTTTAAGTCATTTATATTTCTAATTCACGTGTGCAATATTTAAGTTCACCTAAAGTTTTTTGTACATTAGTCGACATTACATTTTATGTATTCTGTTCTTGCATTTAAAATCGGGTACATTAAAAAAAAAATACTTTATTATTATGAGTTGCCATTTGTGCGTTTAAATGCAAAATCTGGCCATCCTGTGTCTGGCAGGCTGAGGTTGTATTGTATACTGATTTTGAACTTCAGGAGGTCTCAGTCCACCTCTTAAATTTCCTTTGATAGTGTTCATTCATTTTCTGCTGAGCTTGAGAATTGTCTGCAGATCAGCCAACAAAACAAGCACAAGGACACTGTGGGAGCTGGCTTTGTTGCTAAACGTGATAGTGGATCACTCTATCCCAGTTTTAATCTTTCACGTTGCATTTCAACACCATGGATGCAGATGAGACGAACAGTGATGATGGAATAATGCATTTTGGAAGGATTATATTTATTTATTTAGCACAGCATGTGGTCTCACTGTGGGCTTGAGCAATAGTGGGGTTTGAAGGGTATGGTCCAGTTGGTTGGGACGCGACATATTATGCAAGTGTTGTAAATTCATGACCATGAATTCACTCTGTTTTACCTTGGTTTTACTGTGGTTACCAGCATTGTGGTTTTGAAATGCAGTCTAATAAGATATTATTTGATACATTTAATAAAAATGACTGCAACCAGATGTCCTAGCCATTTAAGCTCTTTATATTTCAGAATTCTAATGCAATTTGTAACGTGAACAATATTTCACAGACGTAAATGGCTGCGACTCAGAGGCACATAGCCAAGCTCATTCTTCACTCGAAAGCCAGGAGAGAACGAGTTGAGGGCCTTTTAGCGTCTCTTAAAATCAGCGCAGATTGAATGCTGCTGCGAATGTGCAGCGAGATGGCGTTCCAGACGGCGGGAGGCTGCCACAGAGAAACGACGCCCGGCATTGACGTCCCTGGTCCCTGGTGTAGAGAAGAGCTTGTGAGTCGCTCTGCTGTGGAGATTTCCACTGTGACCTGTAGTGCAGTGAGACAGCAGTTGAAGAGAGGTGCGGTGGACGACCGAGGGTAGAGGCATGGTGGTGGCGCAGCCAGCAGGCGATCTTGTATCCAACGCAGCTGCCTATGGTGGGAAGCCATGGAAGGAGTGGAGGGAGTTTAGGGAATCTAGCCAAGGATGACAGGAGCCGGACACTTTCAAAACAACACCATTGCTTTGAAAGTGCATCTTTTTAACAGAGGAAAAACTAACGTAAAGCAATGTGTTTCAAATAATTTTTTTCTGAAGAGAAATGAATAATGCTTCTCAACTTTGCATAGTAAGTAGAGCATAATGTTTGAAGGGATTAGGTTCAATAAAATATGACAGCGGTAGGTTTTAAATAATACTTAAAATAAATTTACCCGAGCAAAGTGTGGCTTAGATATCTACAATGTGGCCCTGAAGTTACACGATTGTTGAACACAACTTCAACAGAATTGATGGGAACTATTTAATTCAGTGTCCCCCTCTACTTAATCTGGCGAGGGCGCCTGAGAAAAAAATGGCTTTGCCAAGCACTGAACAACTTCCATAATTATACAGGGTTTTTGGGTTATATCGCATAAATATAAATGTGTCGTTAAACCCGCCACCGATGTGCTGTACGAGTAACGAATTGGCACGTTTTGTTTACGTGACAAACCTTACTAATTGACTGTCGGGTGGTGGCGGGTTTAACGACACATTTATATTTACGCGATCTAACCCAAAAACCCTGTATTATGGATGATATTGGTCGTGAAAGCCTACGTGTTAAACTGAACAACTTATTTTTTAAAATTATTTTTCTAAAAATATTTCACCCACAAAATTCCTTAATACAGGCATTCTTCAATTTACGATTAGGATTTATTCTTTGAAAAACGGTCCATGAAATCATAAAATCGTCGATCGAAAAAATAATTCCCCTTGTTTGAAGAAAAAAATTAAGGACATGTTCTCGTAATGCAAGAATGATACATATCGTCTACTTTCCTTTACAGCAATGAAAACATAATCATTAACAACAATACTTTACTGCTCTTGATCTTATGGGAATTGTTGATAACAGTTATCACACTTGATGCAGCTAAGTTGAGGGAACACGCAATCTCTACCAAGCGTTTTCCTTTCCCGTGCCTTCTTCACGATGTCCGCTTCGTTCGCAGGCTCATAGTTTGCCGAGATGTCTTTGCTGAGTAATAGCCGGCAATGCTGATTTACACTTGCGACTCATCTTGAAGGGGGTGCTTGAAGTAAATGGCAAATAACACAATAAATGCGGACAAATTGGAGCACACGCTAGCAACCGTTATAAAGTATGAACTGGGAAGAAGAAAACCGGTGATGCGGGCACGCAGCGAGGTGAATAGCACGCATTACTTCTGACCCATAAATCGTGTAATGCCTTTATATAGCATCTATAAAATAAAAAAATATTAACTCTTTTTTATTTTACTAAATAGGGTCCACTGAGCTATATAGCTCTTTTGCAGAAGCGACCTGCCCACAAATGATAGCTCAACGAAGTGGCTTATCATGTGGAAATTTATTGCAGCCAAATACTCTAAACGCAAGTTGATTCTAAATGTGGAGGGAAAAACCAGAGGACCGAGAGAAAAATCCACACGGCCACGGGGAGAGAGACACGCAAACTCCAAATACACAGCAGGCGTCAGGGTTGGGATCGAACCACGACCTCCTGCATAGCAG